TTATTTAGATTGAAACAGCAAAAGCCAATCACAGTTATTCTTATTTGATTGCTTACGGTATTAACACACAAAAAAGCGGTAACTTTTTACTGAAACCACCCCAATTATTTATTGTTTTATTAAAATTAAACCCAACAAATGAAACAACTCCAGATACCGTAGTTTTTTTAGGCTCTTCGTAGTGCTGTAGTCTTAGGCTTCTAAATGTAGTTACTACGGTAAAGTGTAGGGGTAAACAGGTCTGGTTTTTTTAGAATCACAAACTAGCACTTCTACTTATACTAGTTGCTACTTTTAGTAGAGGGTAGGGATCATGATTACAAGTTGCCGTTAATGGATATGAGGCAAAAGGCTAAGGTGGAAGCCTCTAGTCGATGATTCTAAATATGCAGCCCTGAGAAAGATGCTCCTGGGCAACCGTTTCATCTCAGCTACGTCACAAACTAGTTACGGGATGGAAACCCACTGTAGAACACCTCTTAAAGTGTGTCCAATGCTTCCCGGGGATGGGTGGGGGAAGATATTATGACGTAATGCAACATCCTGACTCTCTGGGAGAGTCAGCTGCGAACGCTTTAAACGCAGCAATTTTTGGTCAACCGGACGTCCTGGGCGGGGAGGGAGTCCATCGACAAATCCAATTGAGCGGGTAGTGGCGGTCCAGGCCAGAAGAGGTCCTCCGCACGGTAGGGGCATCTGGAGACCCGGCATCTGGACCGTGTGGAGCTGCGTTGTGGAAGGCATTAAGAGCTCACGCTCGACAGCCCACCGACGCCATTTCCCAGTGTGACATATTTAGTAATATTAATATAGTTTAGATGCTTAGTAATGGGCCCGTCTTCAGTAGCTACTAGTCTAAATGGCATTAGTGGCCATTACTGTTAAATATACATGATTTTGGTAAATTTATGTAATCCGCGCCACTTATTTCCCCACTGCGCCATCTTGGTTGCCATGACAGTGCATGTCATGGCAACCAAGATGGTGGCAGTGTAAAATAAAATTAGTGCAAACACAAGTCTGCTAAAATGGAAAGGGAAAGAGAATGTGTTGTTTTAGCTAATTACAGAGAGAAACAAAAATTTGAACAAATTATTAAAATTTAATGACATAACTTCAGCAGGTACATTAATTTCATGGAGAATGTTGCAACTTTAACTTATCCCTCTACATGTGCATCAAGAAGTGTCAACGACCTGCTATCCCTTCTTTCCCCCAATTTAAACATGTATGCTACTGTTACACACTGATAAGAAAAGTGTAAAATTTGTGAAAATAATGAAAACCCAACTTACAGTTTCATGGAATACAATTTTACACACTTTATAGCAGGTTCCACCTAAACAAATTTCCAAAAGTTGTCAGAAAATCAATGCAATAAAATAATATACCCAACCCATCTTCCAAAATGCCTGAAAATTTAAATCAATTTATAATCAAGCACCAAATGAAATAGTAATTGAAAACATACCATCAGCCTATTAATATTATAAAAAAAAAAGAAAAGTTCACTTTAGTAACAATCCAAGAATAAACAAGGTACAGAATCCTGCACAGAAACTCAAAGTTGCATGGATCGTTTAAATTGACCATGTTTTTTACAAATAATAAGATTGTATAGCCTAGTTCTTGTAGAGTGTTTTGACTTTTAGTTAGTATTTTACTGACACTAGGGACTATAATAAAAAATTGACTTGGTGGGGCAGGTTGTGGCTTCTTAGGGTTCAATTTGTTATTGTGATGATACATATATTTCCAACATGTTGCTGACAACACACCATTGCAACCAGATTACAATCATCAAAATATCTAATCTAATGTCTATAATTGCATTGCGCAGTATTTTTAAAAAAATGCTATTGAGACTGCAGAGGAAAGGGAGTTCAGCAGGTCATCTAGCATATCTGAGACTGAGAGACACAATAGATATAGCTTCTATACACAATTTTGAACTCATTACCAGGTTTTGTTTATCACCAGAAATAATGTTTGTTGTTACCTCAGTTTTTACACTCAATACTAAGTTTTGTTTATGAACAGTAAATAATGGCACATATGCATGTTACAATAATGTGTAATTGACACTAAATGAAAAGGTCAGAATCAACAGAATTAATTCTGAGTGAATAACGAACGTTCATTGGTTGATACATTTACCAAATATTAAGTTATTAGTACGACTATTCACTCTACCTCTGCATCTTTCAGAGGAGACAATTTTTAATTATTGTACACATTATTGATTGATTCCATTATTTCGCTGAATAAAATGCAAATTTGTTTATTTTTTAAAACAAAAGCATTAAGTTAAAGAAGCAATTTTAATTACATTCTCTACCTGTAATAAAATAACAGCAGTACTATGTAACACTGAAATCAACAGAATGGGGTCACAAAATATGAGACTGTGCAGTCAATACTACTAGTCACTACCGGTACATTCATGGACATTTTAAAGTCATAGCTCAAAAACAAATAAAGCAAGTTGATGTTTGTTTAATTTGGTCTATAAAACTGTATATATTGCATAATTTATAATATTTTTATGTTTGCCCAAATCACTTAAGCCACGATCATCCCAAATTGAGTAAAGGCCAAAGTGAGGAAGGAAGTATTGCGCGCTACTTATCGCTTATGCATTTGGTGCATCTCGCCCTACCTAAGATAAGACCGGCCAAAAAATAATTTTTTTCATGATCCTAACTTAAACACAATGTAGCAGAGCTCAGCACCCACTGTGTGGCAAAATGATGCTAGGTGTGCAAGAACATCAAAGACAGTATCAATTTGTTGAAACTTAAGTGATTGTTAAATAACAAGCTGTCAAATGTTTAAAGTCAAATAGCACAGCACATCTGCTTAATTTAGAAGGACACATGACAAGTCGCCATCTTTATGTGTCTGAAGCAACAAGTAAAATTGTTAATATAATCTTTACACTTCCGAGGTAACATTTCATCATCTATAAATGAAAACAAACCCAACACAAACTAGGCCTCATACTGTTGATATTGAAGGTACCAAAGATCTTTTATCTGATTTGTTGATACAGTGTTTATGTGTTTTTTGTGTATTTAATTGTGCCACATACTTTAAAAATATTGCTTTCTTTAGTTACTATGTTTTGTGTGGCTTGTTTGGTTTGACATTGAAGTAAATATAGTAGCTTTACTCATGAATGTCATAATTGCTTTCTTTTCTATCAAAATACTATTTAAATTGTTTGTTTGAAAGGGACTGTTTCTTGTGTTAAATTAGCATACATTATACATAAAAGCTTTTTAAATTCATAATAAAATTAACAATTTAAAAATTAAAACGGTACACCAGTAGTGTAAAAAAACAACAACATATTTTGAAAAGACTATACAAAGTATAATATATTCAAAATTGGATTTTCCAGGTATGGTGATGAATCGGCTTTGACACCTGAATCTTTAATTTGCAATGAAAAGTTTCTAACAAACTGGTGGTCACCATCTAAAATGATAATTTATGTCTATAAGAAATTAAAACAATATTTAACTTGTAGGTACATCAATACCTTGAACAATCATGGGGTTAGGTTCCAGAACCTGTTGCAGATTAGGGGAATTATGAATGTTTGGTACAAATCCCTAAAAATGCTAATAAGTGCATATTTATATTGTTAAATCCCCAACTATGCCCCAAATCATGATCCAAAAACACTGTAATTACATTTAAAAGTTAGCTTAATACATTACCCTTTAAATAACTAGCAGAAAATTTATAATATTTGTTAAATTTAGGTTAACAATGACTATTACAAAATAGTAAATTACAACAATTTTTTCTAATAATTAATTATTGTTCCAAAGGGAATAAACCTTACAGTACAGTACTTAATATAACAAGGAATGTTTCCATAGGCAAACAAAGTTTTTTTTGGAAGGAATTTCTAAACTGATTTCTTGTATGCCTTTAACTTTTCCCCCCATAAACTATAGAATTTCAAAATTTTTTTGTTAAAACCAATTTTACATTTAAAAGCATGAAAAATGATAAATTACATCAGAAATTAAACACATTTCTGCTGTGGTTTTTTTTAGTATTTCACAGATCTCCAAAAAAATCACGCATGCAAGTTAGTTAAATTCAAATAAAAATTTCGAAAATCTGTGAATTTTCCTGTGGTCTTCTGTAAACTTTTACTATTCGATTGAATTTGATTTTCAATAATTTGAAAAGGTGCTTCCAAAAATTTCAAGAAATAAAGTAATGCCCCCAAAATTTAGTATATCAAAAAGGTTGTGATATCGGCATGGATGCTTGAAAAGGCTATCCACCCTTGAACTAAATTCAAAATATAAATTTTATGAAATCTTCTTCTTCTTCTATGCTTGAAAAGGCTATCCACCCTTGAACTAAATTCAAAATATAAATTTTATGAAATCTTCTTCTTCTTCTATGCTTGAAAAGGCTTGAACTAAATTCAAAATATAATTTTTTTGAAATCTTCTTCTTCTTCTATATCTTAAGGACCCACGATCAATTTATTGATCATTTTGGCTCCTATGCATGTAGATGGGATTTGCAATGTTTCTGTTCCTGGATATTGATGAGGAAATTTCACTGATTTCCAGTGCCACTTTGTGAGGGAATCATGCACTAGGGGTTTGAAGACTTGAGGCAATAGACACAAATGTGTCTAGTATTGTCGCCTCAACCGTTCCTTTTGAAAGATTGTTCCAGTCCCTGATTGTCTTGGGCAGGAATGAGCAGCTCCTATACTGGCTTCTTGCTGGTATGAGCCTGAATTGCCTGTCATGGCCTCGTCGCTGTCTATGGGGGAGAGGGACGATTTTCTGTATAATCCTGGAACAGTGGACCGGCCCATTATTTATCTTGTACATCTATAACTACATATACAGCATTTTCTATTAACTTGAGCAATTTCGATAGACTAAAGATGTGATCCATATTTAATTCCATTCCTAACTGTTCTAGTCGTTAATAATAAAACTTATTGTTCCTTTTCAGATATCTACTTGAAAGTGACTTAATGTTGTTTGTTTGTTGGCAATAAAATTACCAAGACGCCATGGGTGGTCTGAACAGTTGCTGCATTCCCCGCCATCTGAACAGTGACATGGACATGAGTACTAGCACAAGCACCCCAAAGAAGAAAGGCCACCATCGAAATCTTAGTGCTGCTTTTAACTTGTCTGTCATTGATGATTCAAACAAACATGAGAAAAATTTGGTGAATATTAACACGGCAACAGAGGAAGAGCTTATGACTCTACCAGGCATTAACAGGTCAATAGCAAAAAATGTAATAGACTATAGGAATCACATTGGAGGGTTCAGATGTGTTGAAGATGTAGCACTGGCGTCTGGTGTTGGTGCAGCCAAGCTGAAAATGATACAGGATGACATCTATGTTGTTCCGCTAGCATTTGCTCAAAATGATACCAGCAGAGAACAACTGGATGAACCTGCTCAATTAAATAATAGCTCTTGTAATTCAGATTTGATTGTGAGTGTCAATTCAGACAATGTCTTTACCTTGATGAAGGTCAAGGGAATAGGGATGACCATGGCAAAAAGCATAGTTGCTTATCGAGAAAAACATGGGAAATTTAAGTCGCTGGATGAACTTTTGAAAGTAAAAGATATAGGACCTGTGAATTTAGAAAGTATCCAACGTTATTTAACTGTCAAAGACACCCCTAAACAAACTGCAGCCCCAGACAACATCCAACATCAAAGTAATGCTAATGGCAAAGTTCCAGAAAGAACAATGAATAATGGTAATGCTAAACAAGACTACATAATGAGATCAACAGCTTCATTGGAAAATTTGTTGGAGATACTGGGTCCACTTGCCAAAGTACCAGAGAGGCCAAAAGTAGGAAAGATCACTTTAAAGTATAACAACAGGAAGGTTGTCAGGTTGGCATCGTGGAATTTAGAGAAGTTTTCATTAGAGAAGGCTGGCAACCCAGGTGTGAAAGATGTAATATGCATGACAATTTTAGAGAATGGGTGAGTCATTGCTTCATAATATTTAAAAAACATTTCTTAATTTTAAATTAATTGGACTACTAAAGACCATTGATTTAATTGCTTGAAGTGTCTGAGAAAATTAATATAGTTATTAAAATAAGTAATATTATCCCACCAGTTACAGTCTCAGTATAAGCCCCCTTTATTTTTACAACTTAAACATATTTAGAAAGCAGAGATGTTAAATAGCATAAACTTACACATGATAATGGAATAAATCATACATTTCTAATATACTTGTAAAGCACACTGCCAAAGTTTCTCCTTTTTTTCTGTTGTGTCTGAATTTAAAAAAAAAAAAATCTTATTTTGAAAATTGAATATCCACCAATGCCTATTAATGAATGAACCCTCCTCAAATTTCTCCATGAGCTCCAAGTAAGGAATGATGACCAGGAGTCTGTGGAGTAACATTCCTTTTAATTTACAAAAAAATTATTACCATAATTAAATTTTTCTTTTGTCTGTTGTGTCCAGTGTTGAGGTAGACTAGGTCTGACATGTTTTATATCACAATAATTTTGGAGTACAGGAACACATTGCATTCTGTTTCTTTATTTTCATTATTTTAAATAGTTTTGGAGTGGTGGCCATCCAGGAGCTTGGTGACAAAAAGGCTTTGAGTGAAGTAAGTAGATGTTATTATTCTAAGTGACTGGTAGTTACAACAATAGGATAATGTCATTTATACAAAAATTTGTTATAATAAAAAGAAAGAATCATTAAAAAAAAATAAATAAATAAAAATGTCACTTAGTTGATTAGTTTACAGCACCTGAATTTAAAAAAAATGTAATGTTCATGTCTCTGTTGGAAGGAAGTTTAGTGATAATTTGGTACTGTAGGATGCTAACAAATCTGTTTCCACATATAAAAACAGCTGGAGTACAAAGAAAAAAAAATCTTTCTGTACAAAGAAAAATATCCTTTCTTGTTCTCTCCCTATATCAGATTTGCCAAGAGCTTAATTCACCAACTTTCTTGTTCTCCCCCTATATCAGATTTGCCAAGAGCTTAATTCACCAACTTTCTTGTTCTCTCCCTATATCAGATTTGCCAAGAGCTTAATTCACCAACTTTCTTGTTCTCTCCCTATATCAGATTTGCCAAGAGCTTAATTCACCAACTTTCTTGTTCTCTCCCTATATCAGATTTGCCAAGAGCTTAATTCACCAAATTTCTTGTTCTCCCCCTATATCAGATTTGCCAAGAGCTTAATTCACCAACTTTCTTGTTCTCCCCCTATATCAGATTTGCCAAGAGCTTAATTCACCAACTTTCTTGTTCTCTCCCTATATCAGATTTGCCAAGAGCTTAATTCACCAACTCTTCCCAATGTAAAAAGATGGAATGGGAAAAGAGGACAGTGGACTTATGCAGTTTCAGAGCCGACTGGCAGAATGTACCAGGTGCATTGAATGTATCTGTTAAGAATAGATTTTACCACCTGATGAATCTACCAGTTGTCTGGTCTTAGAGAAAATGATGTACATTTCTTTACCATTTTTTAAAACTATGATTTCTATCATAAATGTTTCTAATAATTATGGTGGATAACCCAGAAATTTTGATAACTTTTAAGTATTGTATACTAAATAAAGGTGTAGACAGATCTGTAGAGTAACAACCGGAGCTTTTATTTGATATATTTTATTTAAAATCTTGCATAAACACTTTAAAAAAAATGTATACAAAGGTGCATGTTACAACCCTAGTGCAACATAATTATGAATTTATTGCCAATTATTTTGTATCTTTGTCATATAAGAGCATGGAGTACAATGGTTTCCTGTATGATAAATCCCAAGGGATTGAGCTAATGAAGTCCTGCTTATTGGAGAATGCACCAGGGCAGCCAAAGCCTTTCACTCGTATGCCTTACCTCGGCATCTTTAAGGTACCATATTTTTGTTGTGAAAATTAGGTATACCATGTAATTTCTAGAAATCAAATAAAAAAATGCAGCAGGAGCCATAATTATTGAAAACTTAATCTTAATAGGTCTATAATATAAAGTAATTTGTTTCTTACAGAAACATTTTTAATAATTTAATCACTTTCAGAATAAATCAATTTTACTTGTTTCTAATTAAAACTATATTTTCTGCTATAAATCAGTATGGATCTATTTTTAAAAATTAAAAAGAACATTATTTGAAGAACATATTAAAGGAGATCATGTTTAAAAAGAGATTTGATAAGAATGTGAAGTTAAGCCAAAAGAAATACATTTTTTCTTCTAAATTTTTTCCAACAGGTCGATGGCAAGTTTGATTGTGTGATAGTCAGTTTGCATCTCAAGGCAGCAGGATTGGCTGATGAAGATAAAAGCAAAACGGAAAAAGAAGCAGATACAATCAGTGAGGTCATGAAAGCTATCAAGAGAACTCTGAAAGGTTTGAGATTAATATGGTTTTCAGAGTTGTGTGTTCCATTTTGAAGAGAAAAGTAGGAATTAAAAAAAAAATGTTTTATGGTTCTCACAAAAGCAGCATGGCCTCAACTTGGTAACCCCTATTTGATGTAGATGATGGTTTGGGGAATTTTTGTTCTAATTATGAATGGAAAAGAATTAGAGATCCAGTGCACAGCTGTTTCTTAAGGCAGCTTGTACTAGGAGTTTGAGAGGTGTCTGCTGAATTCCATGGTAAAGCTTATTTCTTCTCATCTTCAGGTGAAAAAGACATCATCATTGTGGGAGACTTCAATCTAGCTGCAGATGCAAATGGTAGGTGGTGCAGCTCTTTGTTTTGACAAGACTGCCGTACCAGGTGTAAATCATTTTAATGAATCTTATTTCTTTGGAAATCTCTTTAAAAATTCTAACCCTGTGCAGGACAGTCAGTAATTCTTTTAATAAGTTCCATCACTCGCGGAAATGACAGGGCGATACCAGGAAAAAATTAATAGTTTACCCTTTACAATTTTTTTTCCTTCTTTTTTTATTTCCAAAACTCATTAAAGAACAAAACTTTTTAGTTTAGAGGTGATAGCATGTTTCAAGGTCATAACATGTTTCAAGGTCATATCATGTTTCAAGGTCCTAGCATGTTTCAAGGTCATAGCATGTTTCAAGGTCCTAGCATGTTTCAAGGTCATAACATGTTTCAAGGTCCTAGCATGTTTCAAGGTCATAGCATGTTTCAAGGTCCTCTCATTTTTTAGCCACTAGCCAGCATAGAATTTAAAAAATTATTTTTTATGTTTTTTGTTTTTTTAAAATTAATTCTTGTTCAAAATAATTTTTGAACTGACAGCATTAAATAATTGTTGACTAACCTAAGTGAAAATGATCATACTTACCTTAGTGAATGTTTCTCTTGACCAGCATTTGATGACATGTGTGCAGAAGGCTATAAGCCTTGTATTTCTGCTGAAACCTTCACCAACATCAGCAACAAGAACCCGGCAGGCAGCAAGAACTACGACAACATTTGGATTAATGCAGACACACGAGTATTTACAGGTGAGTGTACAACATTATTTAGTGTGGTGAATCAGAGGTTGATACTGGTGCACAGTGTAGGGGCTGTCACTGGTGCTCAAGACACTTTACAGGCTGTTCCAGGTTCTCAAGACATTGTACAGCTTCTGACTTCAAAAAACTTTTTTTTTCCTCATTTCATTCATTTCCGTTCCTTTTAACCAAAACTGTTGTCATTGCTATTTAGTTGAATTCTGTCTATGCTCTGTCTGGCTTTTACATTTAACATTTTACATTAGACAGCAGTATTCAAAGATTGAATTTGTAATAAGACTGCAATAAGGTTAGAAAAACAACAGAAAAAACAATATAAAAATTAAAATAAGCATTGCTCTTGCTATCCTCTTGGATACTACATACCAGCTAAGTGTTATTTTATTTAATTTTGTTTTTACTGTTTTTTATTCACTGATGAAGGCTTGCTGCCGACACCTTCATTTTTTTGTTGCGTTTTTTTATGTCCAGGTTTCCTGTACAGCCTTTTGCTCATTTCCTTAAAGATAGAAAAAAATATTAAGACTCCCCGTCGTAATGCATCAACACATTGGGTTTATGAATGTGTTTTTTGCTAGATATTGGACAGACTGACTAAAGGAAAGCATTGATGTGTGTGAATCTCCCATCACTGAGCACGGAATAATAGGTGCTACTGATTACCAGCTGACAGAAATTAGTCTTAACGTTGTTGATTTCTGTAAGTGATTCTCATATTTCTCGTCCTTACTTCCAGGAGTCAGTGGTGTTGTCAGAGAAGGCCTCACTAGCCTCTGGATTCCCAATGGATGGTCTTGGGGTGGTGTGGTGAGTGACCATTGTCCAGTCTATGCCCAGCTGTACTGTGATGTAGATCTGGACAGTGAGGATGTAACAGCTAAGGATGTGAAATTCACTTTGACCCACGGATGATGATTCTTTTTTTTTAAAACTTCCGACTCATAATCCTGGTGAAAAAAAGGAATCCTCCATTTGTGGAGAGTTCATCTAACTAGCCCGGTGGTGACGCCTGCATTTTCAGAACAAATGAGGAGTTTGTAAAACATATGGTCACATGAGATGTAAGGTCAGTTGTTTCCAAACTATAATTTGACCTATTGAACTGTTGAACTATAGTTCTGATTGAATTCTGTTGGCCAGTCTTCAGCTTTGAGTTAAATTATAAAATCCCAGTATTGGATGTATTTATTTTGATACAAAAATACTCTACTGAATGGAACATAGTTTAAAATATTACCAATCATTGTTGATGATTTTAGTGATTTTTTATTTTTCCAAACAGGATTTAAAAAAAATAAAAATAAAATAGGATCACCAAACATTTTATGGAAGTTTACGGTAAAATTACATATATTTCTTTAGTATAATTTTTGCTTGATTAGTCATTTTTGTAAAATAGAATTTTCAATGAGTAATAAATTTGACCTAAAAAAACGTTTTAAATTTCATAAATAGAAAATTTATTTATTTGTTTATCTGAGAAAAGCTGAAGTGCTTTTATTTCATGCATATATAAAAAGCACGAAAATAAATTAAATATGTCAGCTTTATCCATCTGTTCATGCACAAGTATTTTTTCAAATATCAACATCTTTAATAACATTTTGTTGAAAGCCTGTTGCTACCCAAAATTCAAATGAAGTGACAGAAACTTTTGCCATGAAATAGTCAACAACAAATAAAAAAGAATATGTTAACAGGTGTCTTGAAGACAGTACAAGACATGGGATCCTACAAGCTACGTCTCCCCCCCCCCCCCCCCCCCCCCCCCCAACCCCCTTGCCAGGTGGCTACCCATTTAAAGCTAGCGAGTGAAAATAAAGGAAACTAGTGTTTACGTTTTATATGCAGGAAGTTAAAACTGTAAATACAGGAGGTATTTCCTGGTTAGAAATACATGCAAACTTTATTATGACATATTTCTATATATCATGCCTAGTTGTGTATACTGGCCACTATTTATTTTGTGTTTCACTTTATTTGTATCAAGAAAATATCTTTCTCTTGTTCATTAAGATATTAAGCAACTTGAAATGTAAGCTATTTGTTATTCTGCATAATCAGGGAATGATTCGGACATGTTTACCATGAGTCTTTTATTTACCCGAGCACTGTTTTTTTAATCTAAACATGTAACAGGAGTTTCCTTAAGTTTAAAAAACAACAACATTTTTGGCAGTTTTTTCATAAACATTTTAATTTACATTTGTCCAAGTGAAGCTATTAATAGCATTGTATAGATGTTTAATATTTTACCAGTTGCAGAGTCAACTCTTTTGGTGGTCCCACTTGTAAACTCATGCAATGTAATGGGACCTCTTTTCAGTTGTTTTTTCTTGCAAATATTAGAATTTAAAAAAAATGTACATTGATTGTTAACTTATTTGTAATAAAGTGGAGTTTTCCTATTACTCTTTGTAATACAACTATAGACAATGAAATGTTTCAATGATTTATCTTATTTGTTCATTTTATTTGCAACGTTCAAGGCCAGAGCTAATGAGCAGAGAGAGTCTTGCTGTGCCTCTGTGGTGATTGCTGTAAAATTGTGCTTTATAGAATTAATTTTGTATTATCAATGGATCAAAAAGAATGCCCGATGTCATGTGCCAGATAAGCAATTACAAACCTAGGGTAAAAGTACCTTTTTTTGTTGCTGTACAACAACTTTGACTCTACTGGTACTAAACTTTACCAATTGAACTTATTTCAGGGACAAATCATGTGTCTCCATTTTCAGCGTTTAAAAATGATTCTTAGTTTTTACAGTATGATGGTCTCTGTTCTTTTATAGTTTTTTGTTTTTGAAAATATAATATAATTTCAGCAATTTAAAAAAGGAGTTTTTTAAATGTCGGCTGTTGTCCTATCCATTTTGTAGACAATAATGACTAGTCACTGACATCCAAGTACAGTATTAAAATTTTGATAAATTATTTATTTTCAATGCATGCAATAATGTATATTGATATCTGTCTTCTATAAAAATAGAGAGTTGTTTTCAGTTACTTGGTTAAAAGATTCAACCATGGTTTGTCCATTCAAAGTGAATTATAGTCAGATGTGTTTTAGATTTATAAGCTTTTATAACATAGACATGTGTTCAACACAAATTGTAGTCCAGCTTTTCTTTTTTAAATATTAACTTTAAATAAAGTTTGACTTCCATTTAATTTTACAACCTTTAATTTTTTAAATTATAAAACTGTGTTCCGCCTTGTATGTTACAGACTGTTTATATATATATATACACCTAGTTATTTTAATCCAAATAAAGGTTTACTGTTTCTTTTGATAATGCATTAACAGTACTGGATACAGCAATGTTTACAGGTACGAAGGCATTTAAGCAAAATGCTCTAGTGAGCCCATTTTTTAAATAGTTTTTTGTTATTGGCCCCTCTTTGTACTAAAACTTTTATTCAATTTTGTATTACTTTATCAGTTTTTTATTCATAAAAACCGTAGAAATTAAGTGTTATTTTTTCATTTAATATTTATTAAATGAATTTTTATGTCCTTTACAAAGATTTATGTGTTCAGTAAAATAATATCTTTGGAAATTTCAATTTATAGAAATTTCAAATAATCCCTTTCCAGCATGAAGTAAAATTTAAAAAAAATTAAAATAAATAAATGGATTGTATTTTACACCTGGCTCAGTGGACCCCAAAAACTGTCTAAATACACAGTACCAACAAAAGTAGGGTTTCTCGAACTTTTGGAACTTTGTACCACTTAAAATATATTTTTCAAGGCCTTACTACCATTTGCATATTTTTTAGTTACATGTATTACAGTTTGATGATCAATGGTTTTAGAGCATATCTTGATGTTATTGGTTTATGTTATTTCTGGTTATATCAGTAATAAACATTGTCTAAAGACATATCTGATAATTCAAAAACAAAATTGGTCAGTTTCGTTTGTCACAAAGCAGTACACAGAACATCTCCCTCTACCTCTAATAGTAAGTCTTTCCCTTCAGAACTAGATTCAACTCTAAGCTGGTTTCAGTTTTTTTCCTTCAAAATCTATGAGAGCTGCAAATAATTTCAGCTGGCTTTTGTCCTGTCTCAAAATATGGATGAGAATTTTATTATTTTCTTCATTAAATGTCTCTTTAGTTTTATATTAATCTGGCAATCATGATTATTACTTGAAATAAATTGGTGATATATTTCAAAGAACTTTCATTTTTTGAGCATATGTCCATAGAACTGTTACTAAATGTAAAACCCTTAAACAGAATGAATAGACAAAAACTTGGACAAGACCAACACAATGACGAGACCAACTCAATGACGATGTTCAAAAATACTTCACATGTTTATGTAATTTTCCTTAAGGGAAGTACTATGAATTATTGTGCCTTTTCAAGTCAAGATTATTTCTGGAACAAATTATTGTACCTTTTCAATTCAAGATTATTTCTGGAACAAATTATTGTACCTTTTCAAGTCAAGATTATTTCTGGAACAAATTATTGTACCTTTTCAATTCAAGATTATTTCTGGAACAAATTATTGTACCTTTTCAATTCAAGATTATTTCTGGAACAAATTATTGTACCTTTTCAATTCAAGATTATTTCTGGAACAAATTATTGTACCTTTTCAAGTCAAGATTATCTCTGGAACAAATTATTGTACCTTTGCAATTCAAGATTATTTCTGGAACAAATCATTTTAATTTTTCAATAAAAGTTTTTATGTGGAATAATTATTCTCCATGCTACTAGACATGTTTTCTGTACCAAAATAGGCACCATGAAATAAAACATGTTTATAATGTAATTATTGCTTTATCTCTTGAACAGAAGAATAATGAAGAACAGAATCCACTAAAAGAAGTCCAAGTTTTTTTTTTACAGTTTTACTTATTTAAATTTTTAGATAGTCTACTTCATTCAAAACTACTCTACAGTTATTTTTTTTACATCTGTGGATTCAGAAATGATCCAAAACTTCTCAGGTATTATTAGTTGAAATCCCGGATCCTCAGAATCTTTTAAAATCAACATTTAACATGTTTGTAATCGCTTTATGTGTGTTAAGTCTACCAACAGAGTTTTTATCCTAGGGTATCAACTTTTTTTTTTTTTTTTAGTGCAAAAAGGTTATTTAGTTATACATTTTCTCTGATATTTAAGAACTGTTAGGAGTAAAACATGTTTGTAATCGCTTTATGTGTGTTAAGTCTACCAACAGAGTTTTTATCCTAGGGTATCAACTTTTTTTTTTTTTTAGTGCAAAAAGGTTATTTAGTTATACATTTTCTCTGATATTTAAGAACTGTTAGGAGTAACTCTTCTAAAGGTCAAGGATTTCATTGACAGTTCCATTAACTCTACCAGTCATGTTTGCTGCAGAGGTTATTGAATAAACAGACTTTGTCACAATGTAACCCTATTATCTTATATACAAGACATTTTTTGCACCAATGGTTTCAGCTTGCCATCTTGTTTACATTGGTTACCTGTAGTGCATGTTCTAAGTTTTTTTTGCCTTAGCCTTAAAGTTTCCTGAGTTTATGTGATGGAAGTGGATATGTTGGTCATTTATTTGTACGGCTGTGATTAAAAAAAAAAAAGTATGAATTTGCTTTTCTAAAATTATTTTTTATAAATATTCATGACAGCCAATCGTTAACTTTTGGATTAATAGCTACGGTTAAAACTGAGAATTAAAAAAAATCTTGATTTTTGTACTTGAAGTTGTTGAGTAAGAACGTGATCAGAATTGTTGAGAACGTCCTGTCTCAGTATATCAGCAACTGTCTGGAATATAGGGTGGTGGGTGTTGAGAAGGAGGCTATGCCCCCACACACCATTTAGAAATCAACTATATTGTATTGTTGAATTACCAATATAGTTCATTTAATGGTTCAAAATATATTAGTTAATCTCTCTCTCCCCCTCCCCCCTCCCAAAAAAATCTATCTCCCACTTATCCATACCAACAAAGTTGCACCCCCTCACTCAATACTTGCCAACCTCACCAATCTCTGAAATCCTAACTTATAACCTACCTCATATAAGAATCACACACACATTTCTAGATGTCATGTCTGTAAGTCAACCTGTGTTCTGTTGGCACCAAGCTGAATATTTCCATGCTACGATCTCAAGTAAATCATTTAGGATGTTT